CAGAGACTGCCCTATACAGAGGTTGGACTTACATGTACCTTAATGCTATTGGCCATAGGCGTGAGCAGGCCAACCTCTTGCCCACGTCTGTTTACTTAAATGTGATAGAAACCAGGTGTGTGAATGTTGTAATGTAAGGCGGTAGCTAAGGATGAATACTGGACAATGGGTTGTCTGCGGCTGTCTGTTGTTAGATATTTTTAGTCAGATAGATAGTGGATAGATACTTTATGTATTAGAAATGTTAGTGGAGAGAGGATGTCTAGTTAGACTGTTAAATGCTTAGGCCTGCTTATGAGTTTCTGCAGGGTACATCTGGTCAAGGCTACCAGAGAGAAGAGTTGATGACTGTCAGCAGACAGGGTGTTCAATATTATTATTATGATGTGTATAACTGTAGCCTCAGCCATAATGTTCCTATGTTCAAGTCAAGACATGTCACTAGAGGTCATGTGAGAATGTTTTTAGCTACACACCACATTCACACGTTGATTTGTTTTGACTATTGCTAGAGCCAGCTGCAAAGCTGGTGAGAGAGACGTCTCGGTTGACGTTTCTGTGTAGTATGGGGCTAGCCCAACCAAGGTGTTATAATGTATAGGCCTGTTTTTGGTTCGGGGTCTTTCATCTTACATCTGCCTGCGTGCATGTTGGAGGTGCAAGATATCTGAGCGTGTAATGTTAATTTTACCTGTGATCCTTTGAATAAATCAGCACTGTTTTGAAGTTACTTGGACTGCCTCGTCTCTCAGAGTTAGCATGGTAGCAAGAACTGGATCCTACACTGTCTAGGCTTTTGCAGGACAAAACAGAACTCATAAAGATGCTAAATAGGCCAGGAGATCCTCTGAAATTGTAGGTCCCCCATCTCTGCAAACTGTTACATGCTAAAGCAGAACTTGTGAAATGCTAAGTGGGCCTATATAAAGATGCAAAACAGGCCGTCTGGTTAATTAAAGATGCAGACAAGATGCAGACATTATTTCTCCACAAAGTTCTGTCAGACAATTCCTGCTTAGCAGTTCTTGACAATTATCAATACAATTGTAATATATATATAATCAAGGAAAATCAAGGTATAAAAAGTAACTAAAGCATATAAAATCCAAATACTATATGTAATAGAAGTTTTACTGATTTGTTGGAATGAATACCAACACAGGGTGGTTTCTGATGTTGTATAAAAGGAAGCAGAAGTTTGGCTAGTTATCTGGTGAGCTATCTGAAAAATTTTGCCAGTTATTTTAAATGTTTGGTGGAACAGCAGTTGAAATGTTTGTTACTGCTAGTGACTGTCTGGTAACCATTAGCCCGAGTATTTGAAGGGTAGGTGGGTGCATGCAAAAAGCAGGGTGGTTCTGGGATGCTGGAACACACTGTTGAGCCTTCTCAATGTCATGGGCCCAACTCATTGAAACACCACTTAGTGCGAGGGTGCCCATCTGATGATCCTGTAGACTTGCCTTCACTCTTACACCCAAACAGAACTGGTATTGGTGCTGGTGATAATACAGTTACAGACTCACTGGAATTGTTAATAGTCTTCTTTTGTTAGACAATCCTGGTGAACAGTGTCAGTGGTTGGACAACTGAGCAGACTTGGCTCTCAGAGGTGACTGCCATTACAGGCCAGTTGGGCCAGCCACTGCTTAACCTGAGCAAATACAATGCAGATGCTGTGTGTCAAGCCACATATCTGCTCTTTGCTTGGGTGAGGATAGGATTCAGGGATTCTTACTTTGGGGCTCTGAAGAGTTATAATGGCATGGCCTGACCCTTTAGGGCCAAATAATGGGTAAACAGCATTTAATTCATACTGAGCTTCCATAAGAATGCTCTCCCATTCTTTGCCACATTTAATTGTGTATTATTAACTACAAATAGTCTCTTTTTATCCTACTGATTGTGCATGTTTCCTATTTGAATACACAGCCTTGTTTTGTTTTTATTGATGCCTTACAAAGCACATTGAGAACCTCTGTACCGGAGTCAAATTTCTTGTATGTCTAATCATGCTTAACCAATACAGATTCTTATCCAGTTTGATTTTTTATTCCACCCACCCCCTACTCTCCCCTTTACACATCTATTAGTTCTAAAGTAACCTTTTTGTACATTCATTAGCAAAGCAGTAAATCGTGTGACATTGTTATAGTGCCATAAAAAGTTTTGGTGCAGGGTTGTGGTGCATAACACTGGGTGTACAAACAATGATTTTCACACTGAAAATCAGGGTTTGCATTGTGTCACCTGTTATTAATTTTGGTTTCTCTAAACCATGACGTTGATCTTTCTACAACCTTAATTAAGCTTAATCTCAGAAAAACACATGCACTAACAATACCAACAGTGTCCAGTGTCCAAGTCAAAGTCGTTACAGTTTTCAGAAAATTATTTGAATTACTTCAACCCACATGCTTACATCTTTGGGTGATTAAACTCCTCATGTGTGCATTGGGGATGGACGATACCATCACCAATGGCTCTCACCCATCAAGATGGTGAGCAATTTAAGCCCCCACCCACCCTCACGGTTGCACAGCAGTGCCAGTGACACCTACAATCTTGTCAGCAAAGCTCCATGTAGAAATCATTCAGGTAGCAGCTTCTGCTGATTGTAGGGTATGGTCTGTCTTGCCATGCTAACTCTGAGAGACGAGGCAGTCCAAGTAACTTCAAAACAGTGCTGATTTATTCAAAGGATCACAGGTAAAATTAACATTACACGCTCAAGTGTCTTGCCCCTACAACATGCACGCAGGCAGATGTAAGATGAAAGACCCTGAGCCCACCAGGCCTATACATTTTATCACCTCGGTTGGGCTAGCCCCATACTACACAGAAACGTCAACCGATAGCAATAGTCAAAACATGAAGCAAATCAACGTGTGAATGTGTATGTCTGTTGGTTAAGTGGTGTGTAACTAAAAACATTCTTACGACCTCTAGTACATGTCGTGACTTGAACATAGGAACATATTATGGGTAAGGCTACAGTTATACACATCATAATAATAATATTAAACACCCTGTCTGCTGACAGTCATCAACTCTTCTCTCTGGTATCCTTGACCAGAAGTACCCTGCAGAAACTCATAAGCAGGCCTAAGCATTTAACAGTCTAACTAGACATCCTATCTCCACTAACATTTCTAATACATAAAGTATCTATCCAATATCTATCTGACTAAAAATACCTAACATGATCGTTGCTGGCTAAAATGACAACAAACTATCGCTAGCTACCATTAACTCTGTGACTTAAATTGATGACAGGACAAAATGAAAGTTGCTGTTCTTGGATTTGTGACCTCGCTGTAGCCAGTGCCCAAACTATCAGTAGATTTCACTTCAATGTTGGAAATGTAGCGCATTCTCTGTGTACATGCAAATGGTTATGAAGATTCATTGTCTGTCGTCTTTTACATCATATATACAAATCATGCACGTTCCTTAGCATTTTGTTTTGTTTTAACCCAAAGTACTGCCAGATGGGCAAAAGGATCTTTTAGCTGCTCCATGGCCACTGATATCATCATCCATTGTGATGTTTCAGTGTAGACATAGTCTGATCCCAATTTAATAGACATCACCCTTCTCTAGTGTGGCTACCTCATATGTCCTGCATTCTTTGGGTTGTGCACATCCTCAAAAATGAAAGCTACATTCTTGTGAGATTCAGCACATGACCAGTGGGGACAGAAAGGGAGGGTAGCAGCAGTGGTGAATCATCAAAACAATGGTGGAAAACTCTGAAGAGAAACTCACAGAGTGCTGCTGTTTTCTGTGATCTCACTTGTTGTCATGGTTTTTGTTGTGCAAAAGCAGAGGTTAAAGATATTCTGTTTTCTACTAAGGATGCTTTCAGACTACAACACACTGACTCCCTTGTGTTTCCACATGAGGAGGCGACAGTGGGTGGGTGCGGTGGGTAGAGCGGTCGACTCCCAACCAAGGTTGAAGATTCAAATCTTGGTGCCTGCAGTCCACATGTCGAAATGTCCTTGGGCAAGACAGTAAACCCCCCCAGTTCCCCCAATGGTTAGAGCCATCAGTTGAGTTGGCGCCGCAGATGGCTGCCTCGGTTCTGTACCGGAAACAAATTCTGTGTGTGTCACATACTTGGCCAACAAAGGTGATTATGTTTAGGCCCTAATCTGCCCCCTAGTGGATATACTTTTTAAACATGAAGTACACAAGCAATTATGTGAATAGTGATGCCTGTGTTGCAGTTTGTCTCTATGCTTTAGTAAAAGGCAAGTATGTCTGTAGTCTCATGGATATGTCCATAGAGTGTTATTTTCTGCTTGATTCCTTCATCTTTTCAAAGATACATTGGGTAGATGATGATTGCTGTGCTTTTGAAAGAGATGAAAAAAGCAATGATTGGGGCAGACCAACACGATCATCAGCAGGGAGTTGTGCGCAGTAGTGCAGCTACAGACCATGTTGTTTCAGATTTCAGGCAATGGGTGTGCACTGGCACACCCATGTCATAATTTTGAAGGTTGCAGGTACAAGCACTTATTTGCTGAACTTGGAGAAAAACATGTATAATGAGCCCTACAAAGAAAACAGTTTTAAATTGTTAGCGGCCTTATAGAGTGTTAATTTTAAATTCAAGCTGGCTGAAAAGCATTGTTTTACTGCCTTCTCTGGATGACAATTTTAATCCTATTTATTTTCATTTCAAGCGTGTTCTTTGTTGCTCTTGTATCTACACCTAACAGTGATGTTGCAAAGTCCAAGAGTATATGTGTACATCACTGCAGCAAGGGTAGAAGTTAAACCACTGGCGGTCAGAAAAAACAACATTGTCAGGTGCATTAAGTTACTTTTTAATTTGTTCCCACCTTCAAATGTTCGTTCAAATTTACAATAAAAATGGAATTAAAAATTGCCCTAGTCAGTATGGGCTCATTATTTACACTAACTTTGTTGTGCTGTGATGATGTTTCAGACTACAACACACTGATTCCCTTGTGTTTCCATCTTTCAAGTGGCTGTAAAAGTCCATCCCTTACACCGCTGTTCAGACATGGAGTTCCCAGATGACTTCCTGCTTGCTGAGCTGAGCCACCTGCAGATCTACAATGAATCGCTGTTCCAGAACAACTTCAGCGGTTTATACAATGAGACCGATGCCTTGCTACCAACAGGGGTGAAGGTCACCATTGTGGTTGTCTACATGATCGTCTGCGTCATAGGCCTGGTGGGAAACTTTCTGGTCATGTATGTCATCATAAGGTAAGACAAGCATGGGTTTCTGTAGGTATATAGTAAATTGGTTTGAACCTGTTTCCAAAATAAATGATCATGCTTCCAGAACTTTCTAGCAATGAAGGTGAGATTCTTGAAAAATGGGATGAAATTGATTTATGTAACATTTTATAGTGTCAGCACTTGATTAGTTGAGAACCCTGTATAGCCCACATTTCCAGCTCTGTGACTACAATCCTTCTAAATGAAAGGTTCCATAGACAACAATGATAATATGACCACTACTGGTATAGCAATCCAAGCTGAAAAGATGAAATACTTTAAATAATGCATCTATAAATAGACCATTCTAAATATATAAAAGACTGTTAGATCTTTTCAGCCATTGAAGATGTTAGGATTCGCTTTTATTCAAGTCACAGCTGCTCTGTCTCACTCCATCTGTCTAGATTATTAGTAAATCAGGAGACCAATCAGAAAAAAAGTATTCATTGTCAGTCTTAATAGTCATTTAGGTAATTTTTAAGTATAATCACCCAGAATTTTTCAGATTTGTTCCATGCATATTTTAAGTGTAAACTCAATACCTTTACCTATTGTACACTGGGAATCTCTCATGGGTTCTTTTTAGAATAATGCTGGTTCCCAAGAGGCTGCAACACAGTTTCCCAAGATGATAGACAGGACATGATAGAAGAAAAAGAGAATTTCTGCTCCTCAAATTCTGATGTTTCTTTAATATTCTGTGTTTCTTGTGGATTACTGAATAATTTCACCTCAGTTATCTAAAGCAAACTGAGAAGGTATTGTCATCTGACAGATTTAGACAAATTTAATGGATGAGGTGCTGCAGCTAGTTATTGCTTTGCTTTAATGGATCAGAAAGGTTGTGAATTACTGGTTTAGAATAACCATGAAATTAGTTAAAATTATGATGATCAGTAGTTGCAATCTGGGAAGGGTGTCATGTTCCTTGAAGTAAATTTTGCCAAGATTGACCACCCAAAGTTATTTTTCAAAGCACACAAACCACCCTCAGCGATTGTCAATTTGTGCCTATGTGTGTTTGTGTACACATGCCTGATTGTGCAGATATTTTTATGAAGACTTGGCAGGCTACTGTCTGGTCTTGTACAAGTGTATTTGCCACTGAGAGTGTGTGTGTGTGTGTGTGTGTGTGTGTGCACGTGCAGTATTCTCCTGTGGGTTGGATTGAAACAAGCGTAGGTGGACACATGGGTATTGTGCAAGTTAGTATATTTGTGCGGTCATGGCTGGCAGCTGTTGTCTGCTCATGTGTTGAACTAGGAGTCAATAGTTGTTTGTGTGTGTGTGGCTCTGTTGTTGGGATGCTTTACTATAAAGCTCAAGGTCTGTTTTTCTCAAACAGACATTATATGAAGCTGGCTTTGTAACATGATTGACAGCACTGTCCTTGCTTTTGATTATCAAACGGAGAAAATATAAAATCTGAACTGAAACCTACTATCAACTAAATTATGTTTCTAAATATCTCTGACAGTAAAGGCCATAGTTATATCATTATGCGTGATTATATCCAAATTAACAGCTTCAGTGCACTTGCCATAGATTCACCACATCTGTGGAGCTTGAGGGTTGAATAGCCAAAACATGATCTCTATATAGATTATGTTGATGAAGAGCGCTGCCTATCACATCACTCAAGAATCTAACATAGCAGATCAGCTGGTTTGAGGTTTGCGGACAAAGAACATTTTGAATTTGGCAATAAACAGCCAAGTCTCTTGCTGTGCCTTAATGTGTCTGATGATTCTGATGCTGGCTCTTAACAACAGAGGTTCCTGAATCTCCTTGTGTCTCCAGTTAAACATTTTCATTGGCGTCTTCATTGGAAATGACCGGTATTCTTCACCATCACATGTTTGTATGCTTCCGGTTTCACACTGGTTACATGATAGAACATCATCAACATGCCCGCTAGCTCTGTGGGAATACTCCAGACTATACACTGCAGCATCCTCACATAGGCTCTCTCTGGTTCACTCGGACATTACGTGGACTTTGTACTAGGGAGCTGACAATGTAAAGTCCGCTTAATGTCTGGGTCGGACATTTGCATTCTCACATGCAGCTCCTCGAGGTAATGTCTAGATATTTTTAGGGTGTCAGTGCATGGCTGAAAAAGATTAATGTTACTTCGCTTATTTATTCAGGTGTATCCTTCATTACAATGCTTGCCTGAAAAGGTTTTTCAGGTGTTTTGGGAGTTTTGACAGGCGGACAATGATGTTTTACGTCTAACTTTTTTTTTTTTTTTAACTCATTGTGAGACTAAGTTTTACAAGACACTGGTTTTCTTCGACATTTTTAATGGTCACACTATGGGTTCAACCCCAGCTGCACCTTTTCTTTTAAATGACTTCCTCAAAGATACAGGTCAAATATACAGTACTTTAAGGGCTATATGTCTCTGATTTCCATATGATAAAGAGATTGAACAGTCAATAAAATAGCAGTATGTGTTATTTTAATTTTTAGGAATTATACTTAGCCGGTTCAGCTTGGAATACAGTGATTAAGCTTTCTTCTTCATGAAAATTTCTTCACTCAGTGTACTGTATACAGTGTTCAAGTAAAGCAGGAGCTTATGTTACTGTTGCACTGGAGAAATGAAGTGGAAAGGATTTGATTACATGCTGGAAATTTTAGCTTGTGTGTGTGTGTTAACAGTGTTGTCCCAGTGTTTCCTTTATTACCTTCTTTTGTAGATAATTACTATCCTCAATACACCTCCTCTCACTCTGATAGCTATGTGGAGTTCTGTAGTTACACATATGACTCACGCACACATATACACATACATACACCCACATGCTGCAAATTATTCCATCCAGTTCACAACTGTGACACTGGCACCCACACTCATGCAAAATATGCACACATTTCATCTGAAACACACAAACACATACACACAGATTTACACACATGCACATGTTGAATTACCATTGTAGTTCCTTTGCCCTCTTGCTTAGCAGTGTCAGCTCTTAGTGTTACCCTCAGTAAAGATGGCCGCCCCCGACAACTTGTCTTCATCAAGGGTATCAGAAGGCAGCAGTTGTGGTCATTTAACTGAGTCAGGCTGGATGCTGATTGCTCGAGATGGCCGACCACAGCATATGTCCTCACCAAATGAGGCAGAGCGGAGTGCAGGTCTCTGCCCTCATTAGTCTCTAATCCTCAGCAAAGATTCAGCAGTGATGTTTTTGTGATTGCATTGGATACTTTTACACACGCAGCTCCAGAGGTTTACTGAGGCTTGCAAAAAGTTTTATGTCAAGTAGGAATGAGCTGAAGGATTATTGAAAGCCAAATTGATCTTAATTTGTCTATTTTTCCCTGCCATTCTGTGTTTTATACCTGTTGCCAGGTGGTGTTTAGAGACATTGCAGACTGTGTTCAGGGTTTGTGAATGCCGCTCCCTGCACCTGCACACATGTGCTGACAGAAGGCCTTCTGCAGTTGGTGTTTACCTCACTTTACCCTGGGGCTCATGCCACCAAATGGTGGTTATGGTTATTCCTTCATGTGAATATTGCAGGATATGGTTCTTATTACCATAACTCTGAGAGACGAGGCAGTCCAAGTAACTTCAAAACAGTGCTGATTTATTCAAAGGATAACGGGTAAAATTAACATTACATGCTCAGGTATCTTGCACCTCCAAACTGCTCACAGGCAGATGTAAGATGAAAGACCCTGAGCCCACCAGGCCTATACATTATATCACCTCGGTTGGGCTAGCCCCATACTACACAGAAACGTCAACCGAGACGTCTCTGTTGCCAGCTCTGCAGCTGGCCATAATAGTAATCAAAACATGCAGCAAATCAATGTGTGAATGTGTATGTCTGTTGGTTAAGTGGTGTGTAGCTAAAAACATTCTCACGACCTCTAGTACATGTCGTGACTTAAACATAAGAACATATTATGGCTAAGGCTACAGTTATGCACGTCGTAATAATAATATTAAACACCCTGTCTGCTGACAGTCATCAACTCTTCTCTCTGGTATCCTTGACCAGATGTACCCTGTAGAAACTCATAAGCATGCCTAAGCATTTAACAGTCTAACTAGACATCCTATCTCCACTAAACATTTCTAATACATAAAGTATCTATCCAATATCTATCTGACTAAAAATACCTAACAATATGAATGCTGTCTTTTACAGCTACAAAACTGCAAGTGTGCATCCGTTCATGCTAATGAAATGAGTGAAAGAGGAAAATGGGACTGAGCAAAATGAAATATTTTAATATTTAGTTATGCTGGAAAAAAGTAAGAAGTGTGCTAACTGTCTACACCCTTGTTTAGTATGTAATATTTACAATAAATAAAATATTTGTTTTGTATAAGGAATATTCTTATATGTCAGTGATTTCAAGTAAGACTACTACACAAGGTCCAAACATGGTGCCCACCGAGGCGGACATGTTTGCGTGTTCCACTCTCGAATGCCGGCTTTTTCTTCGTTTTCTTCTTTTTTGTGTGTTTTTTACTTTTTCTGCAGTGCACAAATGTCATGCACTGCTAACATACAACAGACAGGCATTGCTGGATATTGCCAATTCACACAGCCACTGGGAATTTACTGGTTTCGTACCACCAGAGCTACAACTACTTGTCTGCTCCTGCAACAACAATGGCAACAACCACCATCACCCTCAGGGAGCCCCTGGGGCACCAGGCACAAGCGAGCAGGCTGAAAACAGGAGAGCACCGCGGAGACAGAGACGCAAGCGTGGGGGACTCCATGCTAGGTTAAAAGCTCACGCTTTCAACTGCCATTACCCAGCTTCTTCCTAGCTAACGTACAGTCTCTGGAAAACAAACTGGACGAGTTAAGGGCTGGGATTACAGCACAACGGGAAATCAGAGAATGCTGTGCTCTAATTCTCACTGAGACTTGGCTTTCTGACAGAGTCCCAGATTCCACGATTCAGCTACAAACACACAGTGTACATCGAGGTGACTGCACTGCTGC